CCAAAGATTATTTTTAATTATTTTCATCTCTTCGCTAAATGTATCTGATAGAATTCTGAATTCCTTCTGTGTGTTATCTTGAATTTCTTTGAGTTTCATCAAAACAACTATTTTGAATTCTCTGCCGGAAAGGTCACTTGTCTCTGTTTCTCCAGGATTGGTCCCTGGTGCCTTATTTAGTTCATTAGGTGAGATCGTATTGGGTGTTTGTAGGTGTCTGGCATTGAAGAGTTAGGTATTTATTGTAGTCTTCACAGTATAGGCTTGTGTGTCCCCGTCCTTCTTGGGAATGCTTTCCAGGTATCCAAAGGGACTTGGGTGTTGAAACCTAAGTTATTGGCCACCGCAGTTATATCTGCATTTGGGGGAACCCCAAGCCCAGTAACACTATGACTCTTATAGACTCGTAGAGGTACTGCCTTGGTGGTCTTGGATAAGATCCAGAATTTTCTGGACAACTAGGCAGAAATTCTTGTTCTCTTCCCTTATTTTCTCCCAAACAAATGGAGTCTCTCTCTCTGTGCTGAGCTACTTGCAGCTGGATGAAGGTTGACACAAGCACCCCTGTAGCCCCCACCACTGGGCCTGTGCTAGGTCAGACCTGAAGCACAGATTACTGTGTCTCTCCCAAGGCTTGCAGTAACCACTGCCTGGCTACCACCTTTGTTTGCTGAAGTCTCCCTAGGGCTCTACAATCAGCAGGTGGCAAAACCGGCCAGGGTTATGTATCTCCCTTCAGTGCAGCAAGTTCTACCTGACCTGAGCAGGTCCAGATGTGCCATCCAGGAGCCAGGGCCTAGAGTCAGAAACATTAGGAATCAACCTAGTGCTCTGTTCTACTGTGGTTGAGTTGACACCCAAACCATAAGACAAGGTCCTTCCCACTCTTCCCTCCCCTTTCTATAGTCATAGGAGTCTCTTTCTGTGGCTGCTACCACCCCAGGCCCATGGTGAGTACTGCCTGGCTACTGCCAGTGTTCACTCAAGCCCAAGGGCTCTTCATTCAGTTTGTGGTGTATGCTGCCTGACCTGGGCCTTTCCATTCAAGACAGTGGCTCCCCTGTGGCCCAGGTCAGGTTCAGAAATACCATCCAAGAGCCAAGGCCTGGGGAATCAGGGACCTCAAGAACCCATTTATTGCTCTACCTGACTGTGGTCAAGCTGATACCTAAGCTGCAAAACAAAGTTCCCTTACTCTTCCCTCCCCTTTTCTCAAGCAGAAGTAGTCTCTCCCGTAGCCACCACAGCTGGGAATGTGCTGTATCCCATCTGAAGCCATCATGTCTCTGAGTCTCACCCAAGGCCCTTGGCGAGTGCTTCCTGGCTACCACTGCTAACTCGTCAGGGCCCAAGTACTCTTTTGTCAGCAGATGACAAATCCTTCCAGGACTGGGTCTTTCCCTTTAAGGTAGCCCATTCCATTTTTGCCCAGGATATGTCTTAAAATACCATCCAGGAGCTAGGGCCTGGAATGGGAGCCTCAGGATTCTGCCCAGTTATTCTGTCCTACTATGGCTGAGCTGGTTTCCAAGTTGCAAGACAAAGTCCTCTTTTTTTTTTTTTTTTTTTTTTCGAGACAGGGTCTTGCTTTTTCACCCAGGCTAGAGTACAGTAGCATGAAATCATAGCTCACTGCCGCCTTGACTTTTGAAACTCAATCGATCCTGCCTCATTAGCCTCCCGAGTAGGTGGGACTACAAGTGTGTGCCACCACACCCAGCTAATTTTTGTATTTTTTGGTAGAGACAGGCTTTCACCATGTTGCCCAGGCTGGTCTCGAACTCCTGGGCCCAAGCAATCCTGCCTCAGCCTCCCAAAGCACTGGGATTATAGGTATGAGCCACTGTGCCTGGCACAGAGTCCTCTTTACTCTTCCCTCCCCTTTACTCAAGCATAGGGAAGGAATCTGTACCAGAGTTGTGAGCTGCCTGGGGTTGGGGGCAGTGGGTGCAAACACTCCCTTGGCTGCCCTGGCTGGTCTCATAGGTCACATTCTTCCCAAGTTCACTGACTCCGAGCCCAGCACAACGCCAGGACTTGCCCAGGAATTGCAGTTCTTGTGGCTTAAACCTCCTTTCAAGTTTATTTAGGTCCCCAGAACACTTTAACCTGCAGTAACAAGGCTTGCTGGAGCTCAAGTTCCGACTGCTAGGATGGGCGATTCCCTGCTCTCTAAGGCTAGTCTAAATGCTCTCTCTGTGGGGGCCAGCTGAATTCTGTCCTGTTGCTTTCCACTGTAACAGGCTAGCACTGAGTTCCAATGCAAAGTCCCTCTGTCACTGTGCTTCCTGTCTCCCAAGTGCATAGACTCTTTGTCTGCACCACAGGGTGACTGCTGGGGGATGAGGGAGGAGTGGCATCAGCATTTCAAAACTGTCTTTCCTACCTCTTCAGTGCCTTTTTCAGTGATATGAAGTTAAAACCAGGTACTGTGGTGATTCACGCAACTTTTGGTTCTTTTTTTTTTTATATACTTTAAGTTCTAGGGTACATGTGCACAACGTGCAGGTTTGTTACATACGTATACATGTACCATGTTGGTGTGCTGCACCCATTAACTCGTCATTTACATTAGGTATATCTCCTAATGCTATCCCTCCCCCCTCCCCCCTCCCCACAATAGGACCCGGTGTGTGATGTTCCCCTTCCTATGTCCAAGTGATCTCATTGTTCAATTCCAACATGCAGTATTTTAAGGTATGTTTTCATGTGAATAGTTGTTCAATTTGGTGTTCTTGTATGGAGGACATCTGTGAAGGCTTCCATTTGGCTATCTTGCTCTGCATCAGTTTTTGCATTTTCAAATAGGGCTAATACTAATTGACAGCATTGTTGAGAGGATTAAATAGGATCATGTACATGAAAGTATTTTGTAACCTATGAAGTTATTGGGTTTTTTTCTTTTTAGAGATGGAGGTCTCACTCTCTTGCCTGGGCTGGAGCACAGTGGTGTAAGCTCACTGCAGTCTAGAATGCCGAAACTTAAGCAGTCCTCCCACCTAAGCCTCCTGAGTAGCTAGGACTACAGGTGCACGCCACCATTGCCAGCTAATTATTTATTTTTTATAGAAACTAGGTCTTGCTTTGTTACCCAGGCTGATCTCAGATTCCTGGCTTCAAGTGAACCTCCTGCCTTGACCTCCCAAAGTGCTGGGATTACAAGCATGAACCACCATCCCTGGTCTGGATATTGTTAAAATTAATTTGTAAAGAAGAAGTTTTCCCTGTAGGACATGAATTTATTAAATATCTAATGAGTGTACTTCTGTAAAAGTAGCATGTTACATGATAAGGATAAAGCAGTGAGGAGATAGGCGATCACCTCTCTCATGAAGTTAATACTCTGCTTCTGTACTGTTCAATACAATAGCTTCTAGCCACCATGTTGGACAGTGCAAATATAGAACATTTCTATCACTTCAGGAAATTCCCTTGTAAAGCTTTGCACAGAAGAAGCACACATTAAACAGTTAGTTCAGTAAGTATTTTTAATTCTCTTGTGATGAGTGCTTTGAAGAAATAATCAAATCAGAGAAAGTAATGTTTGTGCTAAGAGCCGAGGGATAAATAGTAATGTTCTAGGTAATGTGGAAGTGGAGGAAGCATTTCAGAAGGAAAAGATGAAGAACATTTGCAGAAAGACCTGAGACAGGAAGAAGAGAGAGCTTGAGATCCAGAAAGAACTCATGCATACATCCTGTGTGGTGAAATTAGTCCTGCCTGGAAGGAATGACTGTAATAAGAGGAACAAAGAAGAAGATGGGTGAAATGCAGATAAGCTTGTAGATTTTATGGCCGAAAGTGAAAATTTTCTTGTTCCAATAACTTCTATTTTCTCTTTGAAATGTAGGATCATCTTATGAAAGCAAGAGAGAGAAAGGAAAGGGTGGAGTTTTGAAGAGAGTGGGGAATGTATGAAGCAAATCTTTGTGGACAGTGGGAGAATGAACACCCTAGAGAGATTTAGTAAGATCTTGAATCAGTAGTCTTACCAGTATTTTGCATGGTCTGACTCCCCCCACCACCCCTACACCTGCCAGATTCAGAAATGGAAAAGTCTGGCAGTTGTTTTCATTAATCCAGCTAAAGAAATTAATGCCTGCAAAACATTGAGAATGGCGCCTGGCCCATAGTAAGAGCTAAACAAACGTTATTACCACTGCTGGGGGTTTGTCTAAGAAGAGTGAAAAACAGAACAACAGAGAGGAAATGTAGGACATTTGCAAGAAAATGATTATAATGATGTACTGTGAAATCTACCACAGATAAAAAGTTAAGGCAACGGGGATGATATATAGGGGAAAAGTGGGGAGATCTGGTGAGCATCTGTTAGTGGATTCTCAAGCAAATAAGTGGAAAGCAGAGGAGGCTTGCTCCAAGAGTGAGGTGCATGAAACCAGGTAGGGGCCAGAAAGAAGTAATGCACACAGTGATCTGAATGAAGACTCTTATAGTCTAGGTATAATGTGGTATTTCTTGGTGGAAAGCAAATAAGTGTTCTCGTCTAAGTAAATGATATGAGCAGTAGCAGACAATCCCCAAACTGCCTGTAAACAAACATTTGGAAGTTCAGCTTTCTGAGAGTTTATAAAGCTAATAATATCCAAACCTATTTGAAGTTTTAAATCAAAGTATAAAAACCTGCTCAAGTTCTTATACGCATTTTCTCTGCTATCATCCTCTCACCTTCTCCCGATTCCTAATTCTGTTCCGATTTAAGAATCTTATAGAAACTAAAGGCATCAATTGGTCTAGCTAAACCTGTAGATTGATAATATTATCCTTTAGTTCTGTTTTGTGCCATGAAGAGTGGATTGGTGGTCATGAATATAAAATAACACCAGCTTTATTGGTTGTCTGCTTTTTTCTCCCCTCAGGTGCTCTGTGAAGCATTTTCAAATACAATACTCAAAGTAACTTGTGTTTCAAGATATTTTGGGAAATGAAGCATTATAGTCTAATTCATTAATGTCATTCTTTCCTTTCATTTGGTATTAAAGGCTTCAGCGATTAGCCAAAGATCTTCTAAAACAACTGCAAGTACAAGACAGTGGCTCATGGGCGAACAATAAAGTGTCTGCTTTGGATCGGACCCTAGGAGAGATCACTAGAATACTGGAAAAAGAGGTGTGTAACTAATCTCTGGTTTTTTAACCTTAATCTTTGTGATCCTTTCTCACTATGACAGTACATAGAGCTATAAGGCAGACTCAGTATATGCCTTTCTTCTGTTTTTTAAAGCTAGTTAATAATAGATGTACTTTTCTTTTTTTACTTTTGTTCTTTTCAGTTGTTTAAATGAAGTTATTTTCAGGTTTTTTAAATTGAAGTCCTCTTTAGATCATGGTTTCCTCAGTCATATTTTTCCCACACAAACAAACTGAAATTATTTTGTCAGGAATCACAATAATAAAGATGTATGACTCTATAGCAGAAAATAGAAAACTTTGAATTATAAAGCCTAATAAATCACAACCAAATTTCTACAAACACCAATATCCCCTGATTCCAACAGATTTGGCAGTTTTCTTTAATGACTTAGAATCATTAAATATCTCAATTATAGTTTAAATATCCTCAGTGATTTTTAAAGTATTTATTATTCACTATAGGAAAATGTTAAATGTACAAAGAAGAAATAAAACTTCCTGTAATATCAACTGATAACATTTTATGGTATCTTCTTCTAAACATTTTACTGGACTTTTTTACATTGTTTTATCATAAATACTTTATCGTGTCTTTAAAAACCTTTAATGGAATGAACATATCACATTTTACATAAAGTATAATATTTAGGTGGTTTCTAATTTTCTATTTAAAGTAATGGCTATTTTCATTTATTAGCTGTAGTTTTTGGTTTTTTGTTTTGTTTTCTAGGTTTAAAGGTTATTATGTTATATTTGATATATACAAAAGAAATTGTAATAAAAATAACATAAATACAGTGAACAGCTGTGAACTCACCACCCAATTTAGGAGTAAGATTGTTACCACTACATTTGTGGTTCTCAATATGATCCTTTCTCACCCCATTCCTGATTCCTTTAAAGGGAATACTGTACAGAATTAAAGGTGTATCATTGTTTTTTTAGAAATAGCTTTATTGCTTTATCACGTAAATGTATTGTCAAATAACGTTAGTTAGTTTTGACCTTCATAAAATATTGTACGATAGACTTCTGCAATTATTTTTTCAGTCAAAATTATGGTTCTAAGTTTTTAGCCTTATAGCTGTTTTTCATTGCTTTTCTCTGCTGTAGAGTAAGTCCTTCATTGTATTAATACTACAGTTTTTAAATCTGTTCTGACAATGGACATTTCAGAGAGAGAGAGTTTGTGTATGTATGTGAGAGAGAGAGAGAGAGTGCACACAAGCATGGGCAAACAGTGCTGCTCAAACATTCTTGTATCAGAGTAAATAAACAAGAATTTCTTTAAAGTTGGGGGTCTCAGTCTTTCGTCTGCATCAGAATTGCCTAGAGAACTTGTTAAAACACAGATTGCTGCCCCCGGCTCCTGCCCCAGATTTCTGATTAAGTAGGTTTAGGGTGGGTCTGGAGAATTTGTATTCCTAAGAAGTTCCTAAGTGATATTGATGCTGCTAGTCCAAGGACCATATTTTGAGAATCACTGCTCTAGTCTAAGGCATATGTCTCAATGGTGGAATTGTGGGGTTCTCAGGCATATGAATGTCCAACTTTATAAGGTAGTGCTCAACTACATTTTGGCATCAGATAGTACAGTCATCTGAAGAAACCGAAAGCAGCCTATTCACTGAATAGGACAGAGCTGTAAAGTCAGTTCTTGTGTGTAACACATCCCTTTCAGGATACCAGAGGTTCAGAAACTGGTAGTTGTCACACATTTGCTAGAATGCAGTATTTAAAGATTCAATGTGCTTTGGGAAAAATCTCTGATCTTTTTTAAAATTATTATATACTGATTATTTTTGTAAAGGATAGAGTACTTTGAATTAAAAGGCAATTGCTTGAAGACACTGCTACACGTATCTTATCTCATGAATATTGTTTTAGGTTAAAGTAATAGAACTTTTGAGGAAAAGGCAAAATGATCTATATAAGAAAGGTATTCAGTATCAAAATTCCCCTAAAGTTATTTCCTTCACAAAGGGGCAATTTACTGAAATACCTCTGGTTTCTTATAATTTGGGGGAGAAAAATGTTGTCTGGCTCCCAGTCTAAATGGTCTGTGTCAGGAACCTTGCTGTAAAGCTGTCCTCAGAGTATACACTGCAGGACCACCTAAGAGTTTAGACTTACCTACAATAAGATCCTTTTGCTCCTTTTAAACTGAAATCCTTTTTACCTAGCCAAGACACACTCACGTTATGAAGACTTCTGTAGAGTAATACTGACATTTCAGTGTAATTCAGCTGATGATATTTATGATTTCAGTCTAGGAATTGTAAATAGCCATTCCTTTTTGTTTGGAAAACTGCCTGGAGTAACAAACTCATTAGAGCCAAAGCCAGGTACCCAGTGAAGGATATTTGAAGACAGTCTAGAAGAGACAAGGTAAGACAGTAGAACTTGGGCAAGTGTAAGCACTAACGGAGGAATGGTGAGAGATGAATCTTGAAGTCTTTATTTGCTTAATTTAGACCTCAAAACATGGATGCTTTCTACTATCGCTTGACACAGTGTTTCTTTAGATAATTTTTCTAAAGTTCGGAGAACTACTTTAGACCTAATGGATTAAACTTGTGATGTATAGAAATGCTCTTGTCATGGAAGGGGTCAGGAAACTGAGGAGACCCGGGTTTTGTAGTACTTACTATGCATTTCAGGTTCCTTCTGTTTTTTTGGGTTTTCTGATTTCATTCAGAAATTAAAAGTGTGTAAGCTTTATTTATGTGTTATGCTTTTAAAAATATCTTAAGCCACTTCTGTTTACTAACATACTTTGGTCTAGGGTACTGGTACCAACTCTTCCGACAAAAATATCTGAAAATGCTGGGTGGGGAAGAAAGCAGTTTTCTTAAAAGCATCAAATAGCTAAGAAGAAATTAAAGAATTCCCAGTCCAAGGAAAAAGCAAGAATTTAGAAAGTTGTGCTTATAACTTAATTGCCCCAAAAACCATGTGCCAGATTGGCAAATGTGGGTTGTGGTTTACAGGCGTCATCGTGTAAGGTGATGAAAGTAAAAGTATAAGGGCTGCCTAAGTATGAGGTCTAATAGGAGATTTTTCCGATTTTCCTTTCATGAAGATAAGACCACATCAGCCTACTCCATCACATAATGATGAACCTTTGCATCCCACTCTCAGGACTATGAAGAAAGCACTTCGGCACAATGCAGAATTTATACCCATAGTCCAACCCCTGGCATAGATTTGCTGCTCAAATTCACATCACCTGTATTATTTCAGATGGTGAATTGAGTTTAAAGTTGTCCTAGATTGACTTGTGGTGTCTTTAGGAATCAATTAGAAGAGAATACAAATCCTCATTGGAAGAAGACACCTTCATTCTAGGCCTCAGATACTTTCTGTTAAACAATTTTACAAGGACAAGTAGCCATAGTGAAAAGATAAGCCCAAAAGTAAGTAAGTCGTGATGAGTAAGCAGAAACTAGAACTGCAAGGCTCTGTTATTACTAGTCACAGATTACAAAACTATGCTTGCTATCTTCTGAGGAAGTAAAAGGCAAGCTTGAAAATTTCTATAGGAATGGACTTAGCAGTAGTGACAGTAGGTAATTCAGAACTGTCCTTCCACTGATGACAATAAAACTAGATAAAATATGAAATAAAACTGAACTGCAAACAGGGTAATGAATAATTACTGGACCAAGATCCAGAAATTTGACATTTTTGGACTAGGTACCATTGATGATCCAAAAGAAGTGGACATGAGTTTGATTAGTTCCTTTGAGACTGTTTGCAGGACTGATGAGAAAAAAAAATATTGGCATCTAGGACAATCAATGGTAGGGACTATGGCAAAAAAAAAACCTCATGTTTTGGTTTGGGATCTTAAAGGACTGTACAAGGAAAAAGGGTGGACAGGAAGTACACCAGTCATTACACAGACAACTCAGTTTCAAATCATGTAGGTGGCTGGGAAAATCCAAATCACTGAAAAAAGATTAAAATGATTCTAAATTGCTAATACCCCAGGTGGCTAACAGAAGCAATTGGAAAATTTATTTTGGAGAAAGATAATAGCAACCTAAGTCTCAAATTCTCTCAACAAAATAAATTTCAAATGTAGTGTTTGGTAGAGTAAGGTAATTAAGCATACAAAGGGACAAGACAACATGCATAAAAACCAATAGAAACAGACCTGCAGAGGCTCCAGAACTATGCTTATCATGATCAAAGATATAAATATTAATTGTTTTAAAAGATATATAGCACATTTGAGAAAAAATTGGAATTTGAGAACTGAACATTTTAGTAATAAAAGTTACAAAAATTATAGATGAGGTAACAGTAGAATAAGCCAAGCACTGGAAGATAGATCATAAGAAAGAATCCAGACTGAGCATGGAGAGAAAAAGATATGGAAAATAAAGAGAAGAGTATAAGAAGGATGTAATATATGGTGAAAATGTCTAATTTCTGTGTAATTAGAGCTCCAAAAGGAAAAGAGAGAAGAAAATAGGGCAGAAACAGTATTTGAAGTGATCATCATTTAGAACTTCCCAAAACTTACAAATCAATTTACAGATTCAAGAAGCCCAATTATGCCCAAGCAGGGTAAATAAAAAGAAATCCACATTCGCAGATGTCACAGCGAAACTAAAGAAAGTAAAATTGTAAACCAATCTCATTCATAAATGTGGAGTCAGAATTTCTAAACAAAATTTTAGCAAACTGAATCATGCAATATCTAATAAGGATAATATATCACAACAAAGTTGGATTTATTCAAGATACTTGAGTTTGCTTTAACATTGGAAAATTATGATATATTAACAGAAGAAAAAAAATATCATCTCAAAAGACGCAGCAAAAGCGTTTGGTAAGTTCAGCATCAATTAATGGTAAAGATTCATAGTAAACCAGGAATAGAATGGAATTTCCTTAATCTGACTAATTGAATCTACCAAAAAAATTATAGCAAAATAATATTTACTAGTGAAATGTTGAAAAATTTCC